AGATAGATAGATAGATAGATAGATAGATAGATAGATAGATAGAGAGATAGATAGATAGATAGATAGAAAGATAGATAGATAGATAGATACATGGATAGATAGATAGATATATAGAGAGAGAGAGAGAGAGAGATAGATAGATAGATTGATGGATGGATGGATAGATAGATAGATAGATGGATGGGTCGATGGGTGGGTGGGTGGGTTGGATGGGTGGGTATGTTTGTTTCAGGTTAGGTGACACCTCATGGTAAAATTGGTAAAATTCTTCAAATAATGTACAGATTTCAAACTGTTTTTTTTATAAAATAGCATTTCTAGTATGTCCCTTAAATTTAAAAGCTATTCTCTCTTTGTGACATATAAGAAACTTATTCTAACACGTGTTCATTTATCCCTCTCTGCTGCTTTTCTCCTGTTCCCAGTAAATACAAACAACATGGAGGAACAGTGCTAACATTATGATGGTTGGAGATTGACTACAGACAGAAGATCTAGCTTCAAGGGAAAAGCCAGAAAAGGATGTGAATGCGGTGTTCTGTAAAGGAAAGGTGAGGGGCGAGTTGGGAGACGCAGCAAGAGGAGCCGACCATGGCAGGAAGCGCGAAAACCAGCCAAGAGCATTTTTTAAATAGGCCAGGTATAAAAATAATGAAATAACAAAGCAGGGACTGAAGCATACATTTACGTTGTTCTACTGTACTTCCTGTGGGTGAAGTCGATGATGGCTGGTATTTTCCTCCTGCTTCTTTTATTTTTCTGCTTTTTTTTTTATTCTCTCCACCCACCTTGGAAGAAAAACTTTTTCTACCTCTTTTCTGGCCTTCTAAAGTGACTTTGAGTGTCCTCCCTCTTCCTATATGCTACAGTAATATTATGTAACTTCCTCTAACCCAGTGGTTCTCAAACTGCAGTGGTACGTGAGCGCTCTCTTGTGGTACGTGAGGGAAAAATTCATATTTTTACATTTCCATTTTCAATTGAATAAATCTAAAACACACCATGCACAAGTAATAAACAACATTTTAGGGAAAAAAATGTGTAGCTACTTGTGAGATTACGAAATAGTAATAATTTTATTTATTTACTTGGTTTTTTGTTTTTGTTTTTTTTGCTGCAGTGCAAGTCTGTTGCTCAGGTAAGCACAGGCAGCACGGAATCACGGGATCAGTTGCAAGTTGAACGTGGAACGAGCTAATGTTGGTCGTCATGGTGGTACTCAGAGAGCTCAATGTTTTCTCAGGTGGTACAGAGTAGAAAAAGTTAGAGAACCACTGCTCTCACCCATCCGAACACTTCACCCCACCCCTCAGTGGTAGGGCCACCGGTTTACAACATGGGGTGAGCAGTGGGGACAAAGACTCCGATGAACCTCTGCCATTCTGCCCCTCGACCTCACCCCCCCAGTTAATGCTCCCTCAACTATGGACAAGTTTGTCAAAACAAAACCCCTCCAATACCCAGGTTTTTGTTTTTTTTTTGTAGCTTTGGACTAAAGTGTGGACTGGTTGACCGTCCGAGTTGCAACGCCACAATGATGACATGTATACAGACGTCGAGGATGTTGAATTTTTTTTCTAATTTATCGACCATATTTTCCAGACAATAGGACACTCCGGATTATAAGTCGCACCAGACAGCTAGAGGGCACTCTAGCTGTCTGTCATTGTGAACATAAACAATGTATTTACATTGCTCCAGGAGAGGAGTGCACCAGGCCTAGAGTGCCCTCTAGCGGCTGTCAGTGGGAAAATAACGAACATGTAAATCTTTCAGTAGTACACGAATAGCAGATACTGGTACACGAGCCTAGAGTGCCCTCTTGCGGCTGTCAGTGAAATATTATATTCAAATATATAAATCAGACCTGAGTATAAGTAGCAAGCCCAGGCAAAGGATGGAAAAAAAAGTGCGACTTATCGTCCGGAAAATGCGGTACTGATATCTATCCATGTATCAAATTATAACAGAAGAAAGCATTGTACAAAAGGTGTATTAACCAAACCAAGATGAGTCTAAGACACAACAGACCTTCTTAAATATATCAAAGCCCACCCAACAGCGATGCTTTTTAAAAAAATTGTGTGCATTCTTACGTTCGTTTCATAGTTTAAAGGTCCAGTGAGCAACCGTTTCAAAAGAATTTATAGGCAAATGTTAAATCCCCCGTGACTTGAATGTGTGTAAAAAAAATGTAAATATAAGTATGTGTTTATTTTGTTGATGAACTTCATAAACTCAACTCGTAACGTTTTTGCTTCTTTCTTAAACACAGGAGGCCACGACACATAAAAATGGATACATAATCACCCTGCAAATGTATTATAGCGCACAAAATTATTCTTTTAAAAGTTTATATTTGCTATATTTTTCTTCTCCTCGTATCCTTACAATATAGTGTGGGATGGGGTCCGTGATGTTAACCACTGTATTTCTATGGTTGCTGCACACTGGACCTTTATATGTGGCAGGGAACAAATATTTTGTCCAATTAAAAGCTGTAAAAAAAAAAAAAAAAAAAATTGGGTGTGAATAAGTGTTGCTGCAAACTTTGTTTGAAAACCATCCAAACGTTATTGGTTCGGTAATATAAACGACCGTCAAAGTCCTTTGAATATGTTTATTTTTTTTATAAACATAGCCATTAAATTGACTTTAGAGTTTACACTTATTAGGATACCTCTCTCTCTCTCTATCTCTCTCTCTCTCTATCTCTCTCTGAAACACATCGCCACCTGGCCCCTGCCCATCCTCTCAACAACATATGTTTACTGACACGCGAGTGTGTATTTTGTATGGCACGATTGATTTCTACAATCCTTTGAAAAACTCTCTTTCCCCTTTTTTTTTTTTTTCCCTCCACTTGCTTTGGAAAATCTATGCACACAAATCTACGCTCTACAAGGTCTAACAACACAAACGTTCAGTCGATTTAGTCTCACAACAACAACGAAGGAAATTCCACTGCAAAATTCAAAATGCATGGCTCACGTAAACTCGGGAAAAAAAAGTGGGAAAATGTCGTTCTACTTGCTCTGCAAATTCTGCTCAAAAGAAAAACTCGAGTTGCCCTCGATGATGTATTCAACGAGTATGTACCCGATACACAAACTCAGGGCAAAATTGAATATGCAAATTTTGAAATTTGTTATCATTCTGTATGATAACGGCCGTCCTTTAATATTATTGGTTAACCCTAGTTATTTTGTACGTACAGTGATCCCTCTTTGTCGCGGTAGTTGCGGTTCCGAGAGTTGTGTAACGGAAAGACATACATATGACGTAAATAAATGAAATGCACTACCATGAAAAAAACAATGTAAAAATACTGTACATTCTAATTATGAATGGAAATTCAATGCACAGGTGGCTGACACACAAGGGGAGATGCTGAGAGATGCTATGATGAGATGAGATGCTCCTCTAGGTAAACAAAGCTACTTTTAGTTTTTTTTTTTTTTACATTGCTGTAAAATACCTCGATATGGCAAAAATTACAACCATACCATAACCTACTCATGCCCCCCTTCCATTTCTCTCTATCTTTTCTTCCAAATGATTAAATATTCAACACGGAAATGCCCTGACTCAAAAATCTTGTATTTTGTTTTACAATAACAAATATTTATATTTTTTTCTAATAAAAAAAAGTTCTCTTTTTTGTAAATAATTCGCTAAAAAAAATATGTCAAAGAAAACAAATATATAAACCCGATGTAAATGGTATTTTGTTTCTTCTCTGTGTTTTGTTTTTTTTTAAACTTTTTAACTTTCTTCTCCAAGGCTTATTTTGAAAATCTTCTCCTCACTTCCTGTGTTTTTTCTTTAGATCATGCTTCTGAAAAAAGTGTTCAAGGTATTATCGTATCAATGTTGTTGTATTTATGACAAATTGTTAGGGATGAGCCAATACTGATTTCTGTCATTACGAGGCCGTCATTCAAATACTCGTACTTGGAGAGGCTTTTCATGGGTAGTTTATCCAAGGAGGTCAACCGTCAGGTCAGCAGTTTGGAGGTATATTTTCAGATCAGTGATAAAGACAGGAGTAAGGCTTGCTGAAAGATTTGTTCTCTTGCAATAATACACAAATCACAAAGTCGTTTTTTTTTTTTTTTGTTTTTTTGTTGGGGACCCCTGATCCATAGTCTTCCATTAACAACCGGCCCTTCAAGGGGAACTGTATTGCTGATGTGGCCCCCTGGTGGAAATGAGTTTGACACCCCCCAGGTGTTTGACGCTCTGCTGTGTCAGCTATACAGAAAATGTAATGTTATTCCCCTTCAGGGATATATTTGTGTTTAATTTACCCACAGTTTTATTGTTATATTGTCTAATGTGAAGACAGTGTCAGTTTACAGACTTTTTGTTTACAGGAAAATTTTCGATTCCATTTGGATGGAAAAATAAAATAGTCTTTAAGCATATTTTCTGCTTGTGTCCTCTCTGTGGTTTACACACACATCCACCCACACACACAGCTAAACGAAAAGGAAAATGAACACCATGCCCAGAGCACCTCAGTGGCAACTTGGCAGCTGGTGGACTCGAACCTTAAACCTCCGAACCTAACGCCGCTTCGTTAACCACTAAGTCACCGCTGCCCTCAAACCGATGTTGTCCACATAGCTGGGCCACCTCTGTAACACTGCCTTCCAGTTTGTTACATGTTCATTAAAACCCAAACTCAAATAGTACTGGCATGGTACTTGGTATTTGTGAGTACACATTATAAAAATACTCAAATACCTTACTGTTCCAACATCCTCATTGTAACCTAAAAATAAAACTTCTCTAACTTTTTATGGATTGTGATTTTGCTTTTTTTGTGATTTTCCAAATCCGAGTAATGTAGTACGGTTGTGTATTACATACGTTTTATATATGTAGTACACAGTATGTATTGTTTTTTTTTTTGTTTGTTTTTTTATTTAATTGTTGCGAAAAACAAAATATTAGAAGAATATGACAAATAGTAACATATACGTATATTTGTGTGTCATATATATGTATATATGAGTTCTTAGTATGTGCTATCAAAATAAATATAAGATCACTGTAACTTTGCCACTCAGAAATCACAAAATCATATCATTAACTACTTTGTACAGTTTTGCAAGATTTTGCAATAAAAACATATTCCGTTATGTTGAAAAATGTAAGGTCACAAAAATACCACTAGGTGACAGTATATGCCTTTGTTATTTGTTGCCGCACAAAGCGAGAGGAAAGTGTTGTTCCAACTTGTATCTCCAAGCAACAGTGAGAATAACAAAACGGTTTAAAATAGGTTTATCGTGATTTTTTTAAATTTACGCAAACTGGAGCTTTTGCACACTCTTATCATACAGTATTTAATTTTTTTTTTTTTTTTTTTTTTTGTATTTGCAAACATTAAAGTTATGGTTGAACTTTATTGATCCTGGTAAAATTATTATTGTCACTCTCCAATATGAATGTAAACAATCTTGAATTAAAAAAAAAACATTACATTACATCTAGGATTATTTTTTTAACTTAAATACAATTATTTTCTTTCTTCTACTTAACAGCGTAAACATATAAATAATAGGTTGTAATGCTTTGATGCAGTACAGAATAAATATAAATATTCCACGGAACAAATATCATACTCCTTCTTTAACATCTTTCTACCGCGTTTGCTCTTTTATTTCAACATTTGACGTAATATACTTCAACTGTAAGAAAAATTACTATAAATATTTTTTTTTAAATTGACAGTTGACACAATATTATGTTCTTTTTTGTCAAGCAATAACTATTTGGCTAAACCAGCAAACATATTTTGTAAAAGTGAAAAGGAGATGATTCGTGAAAAAAAAAAAAACGAATGACGATGGTAATCTGTCCGTTGTGCCGATAGATGTTATTGCCATAAGGCAGAGGTGTGGACTCGAGTCACATGACTCGGACTCGAGTCAGACTCGAGTCATCAATTTGATGACTTTCCACTCGACTTGACAAAATGTAAAGAGACTTGCAACTCGACTTGGACTTTAACATCAATGACTCGTGACTTCACTTGGACTTGAGCCCTTTGACTCGACAAGACTTGATACTTTCTCCAAAACCCAAAGTGATCTGTATAAAAATATATTATTATTTTGTTTAAAAGGACTCGAAACAGAAACGTAAGGACTTGGGACTTGACTTGACACTTTTTAGTCTTGACTTGAGACTCGACTCGGACTTTGCCCGTCTTGACTTGAGACTTGACTCGGACTTGAGTGCAAAGACTTGAGACTTACTTATGACTTACAAAGCGATGACTTGGTCCCACCTCTGCCATAAGGTTTATCCTGATTTGTGAGTGGCGTGGGAATTATTCCACAGCCATTTGAAGGGCATGAATTTTGGGTCACATCACCAGTGGTGTACCTTTGAATCACTGGCTGTTTCGGCCTTTTAACACTAGACACTTTATTGAAGGCGACCGGAGTAATAAGTCTGTTCGAAAGGTGGCTGCAGTCGCCGGTGGGAAGATTAGTTGTTGGCCCATATATCAACTAGCATGGCTAGGTGTCCAGCATCTGGTATGTTATGGGAATAGCTGGACTTTATCTGTCCCTCCCGGGTGAATGCTAGTGCTTTGAGGTTGATTGCTCTCAACCGGTGATTGGTCAAGATCTGTTTGAGAGTCGCTGGAATTGGGCAGAGGGCACAATTTGGGTCAATTTTCTCTTTTCCAGTCCTTCCCACCTCATCCATTGTCCCTGCTTGGCAAGAGAGACCACCCTTGCCACGGCCTCCTCTCGATGACGCGCCTCATTAACCACCGTTTCCACCTCTCTGAAGTTGTTTACTATGGTCTGTGAGTTAAAATATCGGATTTTCTCTATGGACTTTGGTCTGTGAATGAAAATATCTGATTTTCTACCTGCGTCGACTTTGGTGTGTGTGAGCTATAAAATCTGATTTCCCCCATGGACTTTGGTCCGTGACCTAAAATAACTCATTTTCTCTATGGACTTTTCTCTGTGAGCTAAAATCATTGGTTTTCTCCATTGACTTTGGTCTGTGAGCTAAAATATCTAATTTTCTCTATGGACGTCGTTCATAAACTGTTATTTAGGTATAAGTATTCAGACGTGCACGTAACAGTGTCCATCAAGAAGGCCGTGAAGCGAATAAATAGCAGGTCAAACGTTAGCCGCAGTAGGTTAGCAATAAGATACGCAAACGTTACACGAAACGTATCAGTTCATCTCTCGACGTGAACTTCAAGTTTGAAGTGCTGCAACTCTGGGAGAAAGCGTAGCAAGTAAACAACGTCAATCTTTTTTAGCATCTCTCTATCATTTATAATTATGATCTCCATCATGTTCGTCTTGTCGTGTATTGTCATCGCCGTCGTTCAGCGGTATCATCTTTATCATCGCAGATAAAATCAACTCAAATAAAGATAACAAACTTAAGATTATTTAGAGGCATCATTAAATGTAAAGGAAATAAATCATTTGAGTCAAAACTAAAAGTTGACCACAAAATAGGATCATCATTTACAACCATACCTAAAAAAAATTGCTATTTCTGGCATTGCCAAACTCTTTCCTTCTATCTGCTGTTCTCTTGTGGACTATCTAGGGATAGCATGTATGAAGAATATTTATTTGCGGCATTTGCCATCATTAAATGTAAAGGAAATAAATCATTTGAGTCAAAACTAAAAGTTGACCACAAAATAGGATCATCATTTACAACCATACCTAAAAAAATTGCTATTTCTGGTATTTGTGGTTTTTACACTGAAAATGTACATGTACGTTATTTTCAAACTGACAGCCGCTAGAGGGCACTCTAAGCTTGTCTACCAGTATCTGCTACTCCTGTACCACTGAAAATTTACATGTTTGATATTTTCACACTGACAGCCGCTAGAGGCCACTCTAGGCTTGTCTACCAGTATCTGTTACTCCTGTACCACTAAAAAATGTACATGTTCGTTATTTTCACACTGACAGCCGCTAGAGGGCACTCTACCTGGCTGGTGTGATTTATACTTTGGCGCGACTTATTTATGTTTTTTTTTCCCTTAACGGTAGTTAAAGTAACCTAGCCTTAGAACGTAAGCGCGCATAGCTTTGCTGTTGTTAATACGTTTTTGCAAATCCTGGGGCATCACAACTGAACAGAACTTCTCCAAGGATTTTCGATCTTGTGAAAATGACACACAAGGACGAAACGAAATTGAATACAAATTTGTAAGCCTTCCTGTTCACCACCCTTCGAAAGAAGACGAGAGATAAGCCCTGACTCTATTTGTCCCCAAGAATTTTTTCAAGGGCAAGCTGATTGATAGACGGGGGAAGAAAAAAGAGAAGAGGATTGGGTGAACAGACCAAAGACAAATTCAAAAAAAGAAAAGAAGGATGAACCGGCTAATGTTTTAACAGAAGAGAGTCTAAGAGTTCTAACGTAAATAACCCTTTACAGAGAGCGCGTGTTGTCAGGAATTGCAGAATGAAGGGCAGCTGAGGAAGGGAAATAAACAGGGAGGAGCAGAGAGAGGGAGGGAGAGGAGAGGAGAGGAGAGGAGAAGAGAGGAGAGGAGGCGGAGATGGAGGTAGAGAAGAGGTAGGAGAATAAATCCTTACTCCATGATGATTGGAGCACACACTGTGAGAGTGGCAGTTGGGATTACAGCCGGTGAGTGCAGCCAGAGGGAGAGGATGGAAGATGAAAGACATGAGGAAGGGCACAGGTATGGAAAAACCCAAAAATTAAACGCAAGCCAATAAAGTGTGTGTTGCTCCTGGGGTGTGGAAGCTGGAAATGACAGACAGGACCGAACTAAAGAAGGCACATCTGAACTCTGAGTGACTGAGTCGTGTCCCGAGTCACTGCTACCGCAAGGCAAGAGTCAAAAAGACACGGGAGACAAATAAAAGGGACTGCCAGTAAATCAACCACGAGTCGCGCTGCAGAATAAAAAGTGGATTGTTTATCCGGATAAAGAAAGGTCACAGAAGTGTTCACGAACGGAGCGGCAACTAAGGAGGTGGGTAGGAAAAATGAACAGCAAGAAATTGTTGCTTGTTGATGATTTGTTTCTGCGCACCATTGTTTATTTACATATGTACATTTGTAGAATATATATTTCATATAAATATTTTTCAAACATATATATTCATTTTGGCTAATCATACCCTTTGAATATTTCATATAAATATTTTTCAAACATGTATATTCATTTTGGCTAATCATTCTAAAATACCCTTTTTTCTGTTCTACTCAAGGTGATTTAAAAGTTCGGTAAAACCTGTTGGAAGAACAATAATAATTCCAGAAGCTAGCAACCGAAAAAATAAATGCTATCTAAAAAAAAAAAATTATTGCATTGCATTAACTGCAGTTTTTAAAAGTAAAATGTGTTTTTTAATTATGCATCGTCCGTTTAAGAGAGAATCAAAATTCAGAGGTAAAGTCCCATAAAAAAAAAAAAAACATAACGTGTGACTGCATTTAAATGAACTGGAGTCAGAGGAGCTTTTATTCCCTGGCAGATGGCAGTTGCTTCAAAAAAATAAATAAATAACAAATGAGTCTTTGACCACTAATCACTTAACGTGGTCTATAATAACGATAATATAAAAGAACTTAATTTCTATTGCACATTTCATACAACAGCGTGTAAAAAAAAACTTCTTGTTCCACTTTGGTCAAGAATTGAAATTTTGATTTCTTTCCTGATTTAACCTTTGAAAGACTGGCGATACAAATGTTTTCGCAAAGTTCTCAACATATAAAGCTTTTTTTAAATTAATTTTTTTGACAGTCTGTCATTCAAAGTAACTTAAAACCTCCTTCTTTTATTTCCTCCTTCGTGCTACAGATCTTACGCTTTCAAACATTTTGATCACAAGGCATAACTTTCACCTAAATTCTAGATCAGACGTTGGGCAAACTTTTTGACTCACGGGCCTAAAATTGAACAGGGAGGTGCCGGGTCAGGAGCAGATAGATGAAGCGTTCGTGTGAACTGAGATAAATGACATGTAAAAGTCATCCATCCAAAGGCAAACATGCTAAAATGCTTTTATCATTTTCTACGCCATCTATTGGGGAAACATGGGTACTGCAGGGAAAAGGCAGAAGTATAAAGATAATATAAATAAATTATGTCATTTGGAAAAGTTTAGAGGGCCGGATTAAAAAGCAGAACGGGCCGCATCTAGCCCCCGGGCCTTAGTTTTGCCCATGCCTGATCTACTGTAGACCATTATTTTCCTGCTTTCTTCATTTTTATGACAAATCTCCCCCCTCCTCTCATAACCACTTTTTTTTTCCCCCCTCAGCAGCAAGTGATAATGTGACCTGCCAAAGTGCTGCAAACCACACCACCATCACAGCGGGCTCCTCTTTTTCGTCTACTGAAATAGACTCATACAAATGAAGAGGGGAGAGATGGAACAGGGCTGAAAAGGAGGAAAAAATAAAAGCGGGAGGAGGAGCAGGAAGAAATCCAAAAAGGAAATAAGAGAAGAAAGAAGAAAAAGAGGAGGATGAGGAAAATAAAAAGCAAATAGGAAGCTAAAAAAAAATTAAAAAAAAGAAGAAGAAGAAGAGAAAAAGAGCAGTGTTGTGAAATGAAAATTGAGGAGTCCAGGCTGGATGTTAGTAGCCATTGCAGGTAAGTTAGCACTTCACATTACTTTGCTTTCATTATCCTTTGCTGTGAAACTATTTTTTATTTGTTTCTTGTACTTAGTTTTAGGGTTTGGTTAGTTTGTTTTTTTCATTGTTTTTTTTAAGTAGTATCCCCCTGTTTTTATATACCGTAATTTCCCGGACTATTGAGCGCACCTAAATAAAAGCCGCACCGACTAAATTTAAAAAGCAAAACAAATACTACTAATAAATGCTTTTTTCTGAACAGTGCCTGTAACACAACCGGTTTCCTGTTTCGGCGCCCCAACCATAGTTGGAATGCACAGGGGAGACTTAATGATCTGCTCCAGGGCTGAAGCTAACATTAGCTCTGGGGCTAACTCCCTTCTTTTTGTGCTTGTCCTCAGCAGAGGTAAACAGAAACGGGGAAGTTGGGGTCTTTATTATCAGCCACACCGACCACAACAGAACATAAACAGTGTTTTACGCACAGAGATTCACAGACAGACATACGCTACTAGTATAACACACAGTAGCCTACCAGAAAAGTCACTAGCGGCATGAACTTCGTTAGCCCGTAAAAATCTATAAATTAGTTGCATCATTGTTTAAGCCGCAGAATTCAAGGCGTGTCGAAAAAAAAGGAGCGACTTATAGTCTGGAAATTACGGTATGTTCAGTCTGCTCAACAGTAGTGTCTGTTGTCTTTTCTCTTTGGGACATTTAGTCCAATTTTGTGGTTGATGTTTGGATCAATAGGAAAATTACAGTTATCATTAGGTTTGAAGCTGTTGTTTTTTTTTTAGGACACAAAACTTTCTCTGCAGGGCGCCACCGTTTGAAGCTGTTGTAGAAAATTTCTGCGCCCCACACCAAAAAAAAAAAAAAAGTCTTCAGACTTGTTTATTTCACATATTTTAATTGTAACTGTTTCTACGCAACTTCAACTTTATATTTGCTAGTGTTGGTACCTTTATGTCAGGAGTGTGATTTTCTGTGTGGGGGAGGGGCGGAGGGGCAGATCAAACGGGCGACAGCAAAAACAGGAAGAAGAATTAAAAAGAATTCATTTAAATAAATCCATTTTACACCTCCTCTGGATCGGTTCGATTCGAAAATTGGTCAAAATTTCAGGATCAAACATTGAAAAAAAAAACATATATAGCCCATGATGGTGATGGTGATCGTCATATGTGAGGTCACATTTAGTTGCGTGCAGTGGTGTAGTTGTGTCACAATGACACAAGTAGTTCACTTTCACTTTCACTTTCACTTTCCTGACGGTTCTCTTGCTTTTAGATAGTTTGTTCTTTCGGCGTCCGGGTGAGTATTCCTGGTTCACTGTAGTGTTTCGAGAAACTTCTAAATTTGTTATTAACTATAGAGTTGTCAAAAATCCACGCCCCTTCAGAAAACCTCCGGTTGATTTATTCATTAAAAACATGAGAATCAATTCAAAACTTCAGAACTTATCGGCTACCGCGGCACAGAAAATGAATTTCTTTTTGCAGTAGCAAGCATTTTTGGGGTGCACCACTCACATCAGCAACGGGAAAAGACTCCTGTGTTTGATAAGTATGGGGGGGAAAAAAAACCCTGCAGAATGTCAAAGTCAAAACCCAAGAACGAGCCCAGAATCGGCAATCTGAATTTTCTCACTACTTTTATGCTATAATTGTTTTTTAAAACAACACTTTTTGAGGAAACTTCAGTTTCTTGTTCAAAGATCTTGTCTAACATTGATGCTGTAGGTCGGTCGGTATCAGCCGTTACCGCTGCGTTACTGCGTTACCGCACCATCGTTGAAGGATCATTACATTTTCAAAATGAAACCTCTTTCAGACTTTATTCTGTTAGTATCAGAGTCTGAATGACCTCAAAAAAATAGACTTTGTATCAGAGTCTGAATGACCTATTGTTTTTAAAACAACTTTTAATGATGATAAAAAGTAAAGGGATATGACTGGACTCTTTCGGAATGAAGTAAATTAGGAAAACTGAAGTACATTTTTTCATTGTTTTCATTCATTCCCACTGGAGCTCGGTACCAAATGACCTGCGGACCAGTACCGGTGCCAGGATCGGGGGTTGGGGACCACTGCTGTTGAGGATTGATTTAGGGACCTGTTGGGATGTCGTTTAATTCCACTAATCCCCTTCTTGTTTAGTATTTCTCCAAAAACGAGTCCTATTGGGACCTCCTAAAGCAGAGGTTCTCAAAGTGGAGGGCGCAGTGCTATTGTATGCCGGGCGCGGATGGAATGAACGAAACGTAACGCTGCATGTTGTCCAATGTTGTGAAAGAGACTGGCAAAAAAAAACAGATTAGTTGAAGATGGTGTAAAATCAAGTTCTGATAACAACATTGCAGGGCCTAATTCTCACTTTTGTTTTTGCTGTCGCCCGTCCGATCACCCCCAGTCCCTCCCCACATACAAAATCTCTCTCCTGCCAAACAAAAGTTAGCGATGCTAGCATACGATGCTAACGTTTTTGACGGAACATTGACGTACAGTAAATGCAAAGCAGAGGATCAAGCATCGGTGTGTGCGTTTGTGAGTGTTGCTTTTGTACGGGCTAATGCCGGCACACTGATGGGACCCCCACTTGCCGCTGGGAGGGTTCGATAGCATTGTGACTTTTCAAGTTTGGTTGCATCGGAAAGGGGCATCTGGTGTAAAAAAAAACTCTGCCCCATGTCTGTATGGAGACCCCTGCTATAAGAACAAGTCATTTCTTCTTCTTTTTCTTCTTCTTCTAAGGGATGTTGGTTTGTATTCGTGTTGTCTTGTATAAGCAATACCTTTGGGGAGTAACGGAAAATGATGATAATACCATAATGATTATTATAAATGTCTACGGTCAGGGTTCAGTACCTAACGACAATAACAGTGTTTGTGTGGCTGTGTTATTTAGGGAGTGTATCAGCCAATCGGTAATCAGTTTTGTTCTGCAGCTCAAATCCAATTCTTCATCACCTCCCTGCTAGCAGCAATAATTTTACAGTCACGACCACAGTCCAACGAACGTAAACTCAAGGTATTACATCTGTTGCGACGAGAAAAAAAAAAAAAGTGATTCAGTGATTAAAAATACATTCTACAAACTGACTTAAGAGAACACACAGGGAAAATGCAGGAAGCTAAAATCAAGGTAAAAATATAACAGCTGAAGGAATTTATTTATTTATTTATTTTTTTACCTTGACATAAAAATTCCAAAAAGTCAAATGTGCGTTTCTAATAAATTTGGTGTGATCGATGAGCAGAGGCTGTGGGAATTTAATACTGGGAGAGAAACCAATGCTTCGGGGAATCAGAGCAATTTATCCATGGTCAGGAATCAGGAGGGGGCGTAGTTGTTATTCGCCCTCTAACATGATAGTGTGCTGATGTATCACCAGCTGACAGCTTTTCTCCTTAAAATATATAGGGGGGGGGGGGGGGGGGGGGGGGTCAGATTTTACAGCCCAGCACAAATGCATGCTGGGATAAGTCACGTGAATGCATTTCTTTATTGTATGACATCTCTGTTATGGCTCCTTGCTAAGGTAGCAGCTTATGCCTAACTTAGTTATTAGACAGGGATGGTAGCCGTAGTTAGCATTTGAAAGCTAATATAACAATATCTCCTTCAAATTGAATGGTACCGATAGTAGCGGCCATTAATATAACATATAAATACTATTGAGAACCTGATAATATGTATTTTAGTTTCAGTACAAACAACTGTATGTGGTGCTGCCACCTAGTGACAGGAGGCTTGCAGCAGCGCCCATATTCCATTGGAAGCCACTCACGTCCAAACCCCACTATTTGAGAAGAACTGAATTAGACTATTGCTAGTCACTTAGCTTCAAGCTAATGCTACAATATATACTCTATTGACATTATTATGTACAAATACAAAAAAATATAAAATAATGTTTTTTTTTACAAAGGTAAACAGTAAAAAAAAAACAGTAAAAAAAAAGTAAACAAAAAAACAAAACAATTCTTTGTTTAAGAATGAAAGGTGACGTTGGGTTCAAGATAACACACCGGTTTCCATGATGGAGGTTTCCTGTGAGGAAGGATGTGATGAAACGGTAGAGGTAAATTATGATACGTACTGACAAGTACTGCATCTTGTAAACGTCTAGAAGCGGAGTGGTATTGATTGATACAAATAAATTGCTGTCTGTTTTAAAGATATAACCTTAGAAGGCAGTAACAGTGATGTTGAGGGAGTTTTTTTTTTCTTATGCGGGAAAAAACATTGCCGTGATTGATGGTATTGAGGGCTGCACCGAGGTCAAGGAGAATGAGTATGTTCAGTCTTTAGTGTCAGGAGAGAGCAAAACTCATTGGTAATTTTTACCAGGGGGCAGTTTTTTTGCACTGTGGACTAGATCGTCTTTGTACCGCCTCAAGTAATCTCAGTAGGCTTTGAAAAATTAACCGCCAATTTTCTTGTAAAGACTTTCAACCTAGGTTTTGGGGGATTCGATTTTTTTTTATTATTATTGTTAAAGTGTTAAAAAGGCTGAAGAGTGAGTAAAAGCTAAAGGTAGCATGACTAAGACAACAGGTTTTGAACCAGCTTGTTCGCACCCTATTTGATTACGAAGCTAAATGACAAGCTAAATTTCTGGTGTGCTAAACTAGCTGTGTAAATGAGCAGATATTCATTATATAAGGTTGTTGTTTTTTTGTTTTTGTTTGTTTTGTTTTTTTCAAAAAATACATAGAAAATAGAAGTCTTTTCTATCTATAGGGTCCAGTAAATAAATCATTCATTTTTCATTTTTTGACTTGCAGGCCGCTATGGGTCCTTAAAATTTGACGGGGAGGCCAGGTCAGGAGCAGATAGATGGAGCGTTCTTATAAACTAAAACAAATGACATGTAAAAGTTCAATCAGTAATAAAATGCTATAATGCTTTTAGCCTTTTTTTATGCCATCTATTAGGGAAATTGCAGGGATTGCAGGGGAAAGGCAGAAATATAATGAAAATAGAAATTAATAACATCATTTGGACAAA